ACTGAAGTGGAAATTCTAACCAGGAAACTCAGAGCAGACATGGAGCATAAAGAACAAGCAGGCTGCCCAGGAAGCCTACCACCAAAGATGGAAAACCTTTGCATCCAGCCATACACACTGCTCCTTCTCCACAATTACCAGAAGGACACTATTATAAGAATGATAGGCAAACAGAGATATTCAAAGACGTATCTGAATAGACAGCCAGGATGACCAGATTTTTAAGAAAAACCAGCACTATGAAACAGTGCTACCAGATGCAGCAAACAATTCTAGAAGACAAATTTAAGGTGATGAAAATTTAAAATATGTGTAATCAATATATGCAAAGAGATTTATGAGTCTGTCATATACATAAAACAACAATTGTCTGCAACAGATAGAACCAGTCAGATTTGTAGGAAACACAAAGTTTTATCAATGAAAAACTCCATAGATAAGTTAATTAGTGTTGGGTGACAATTCTCCATTTGTCTATTGCATTTTATGGGTTTTACAAAGTAAGGTACTAATTGCCCTTTGTTTTATACTATCTTTTCAAGGATGCTTATTTAGCAAATGTCTTGGAAAATAGAGTGTATCCCTCCAGAGTAAAGCATAAGCTCTCTATGCAGTATAATTAAAATGTTTCCTTCTGGAGCAAAGGGAAGGCATGCTGATTAAAGACTCCAGAACCCTAAGCTCACAGCTCCACTGTTGTCATAGCCCACTGTGTGTGTAGGTATCATTTGGCCTTCTTAAATCTCTCTCTGAGAACTAAGACTCAGAAACCCAGCAAATACTTATATGCTGGCTACTGCTATTCTTTCTTTTTTGGTACAGGATTGAGCCCAGGGGCACTTAACCATCAGCCCACATCCCCAGCAATTTTTTAGGTTTATTTTGAGACAGGGTCTCACTAAGTTGCCTAGGTCCTCTCTAAGTTGCAAAGGCTGCCTTTGAACTTGTGATCATCCTGCATCAGCCTCCCAAGCTATTGGAATACAGGCATGCATTACCACACCTGGCTAGCTACTGCTATTCTGTGAGTAATCAACTATTTTTGTCTCTGACCTAGGAATCTCATGTTGTCTTCCACTATCTATAAAATTGTAGCAGGCTAACTTGAAAGTAGGGTAAAATCTCAGTTCTAGAGTCATAGTTCTTTAAAATTATCATAATGGAAATACTGAAAGCCTAAAATAGTGAAATGAAATATCAAGTCAAAGTATTCTCCCAGAATTTGGCCCAAAAGACAAATATAGACTATTGGGGAGAATTAAGAAATGTGAAAGATTCAGAGGCTACTCAAATATGAAATAAGAATTCTGAAAGAATAGAATTCAGAGAAGTAGAGAGTCAAGAAAAAGGAAGACCTTTTCCCCAAATCTAAAGTAAGACAGAAATATTTAAATTAAAAAGATCATACTGTCTCAGTGAATCACCTTTAAGATTATTTACTAATCACAAAGGGGAACAGGTGTTATTATAATAGTGAAAGTTGGCAGAAACCAACTTAGCAAAATTAGCATCATTAATAGTGGGCCAACTGAGTCATGTGTTTTTGATGTGATGCACCAAGAAGGATTCAATATCACTTCTATGATATTCTTGCCAAAAATGTTTACTCTCAAACTAGACATGTTGAAACAATCAGAAAAATCCAAATGGAAAGATATTATATCAAACAACTGGCCTGGACTCTTCATTCAAAAGCATCCATGACATGAAATTTTAAAAGGTGCGG